ACCACTTCATTTAAATTCAACCTAAGTTGCTCAATTAGTAAAGAGAATCCACCTGTCCCTAAACTAAGCTCCCAATAAGAAGAGTTATCTGTTATATTAAGTCTAAATACAGTCATTACTGTCTGCATTTTTAAGATAATAAAGCAAGCATACAATCTAGCTTTTCAACTGACATATGGAACTAGTTTAAGCTTGTTAAAGCAGAGAAGCAGCAGGATGGTTGCCCTGGAGGATTAGGGTTCAACATCTCTGATCAAGACTGAGGATCACAGCAGGAAGATCAGACATAAAACTACTGGGAGGTTTAAGAGGGGTTTATGTTGAATCAATAGTCCCCGGTTTGAACATCTCACAGTTATTGGAAAATGGAAAGAACCTGATAAAGTCCCAAACATACCAAGACATTTTTCTCTGGCTAAACCAGTGGTTTGCAACATATAAAACCCAAAGAGCCATTTTGCTCTGAGTCCGGCTGAGTTAAAGTTGTTTAGAGACGCAAATATTATATAATCTTTTAATAAAACACATATTACTTTTGTTAAATAGCTGCCAAAAGAAATATGTTGTCATTTTTAATAAAGTTTATTTGTAATTTTTAGCTCTTAAAATAGGGAAAAATGTAACATAAATGTAACATGTTACGTAAGGAATGAATTTTCTTCTATTGGATATTAGTTGATGCACAAAAACACATAGTATCCAAGCTAATGACAAAGAAAAAAGCCTTAAAACATATTTCTAGTTACTTTAATGTCATCTTGTCGTGAAAATTCAATCCTGTGCTCTTTAAATAACCTGCAAAAACTTCTAAGACTAGTATTTGTTACTATACTACAGTAATTGTTTTAATAAAATCATTTTAAGCAACTATTAAGAGCCTCTCTAATCAAGTCTCGGCATCACACTTAAAAACATAATATTCACACTACAAATGTTGCTGATATTTTCATAATCACTTTAAATAGACCAAAACTCAACATTTTACTGCATTTCGCACCATATCTATTTATTTTGCACTTCACTGAACCTTTCCATATCAATGCATTTAGCACCATGACTTTAAACTGGTTTTCCTTTTCTCCTACTCTGTGTGCATTCTGATCACTGCTGCTTTTTTATAAATGGTCATTTTCATTTCACTTTTGTAAGTTGTATGCATCAACATTTTGTTTTTTTTTTTGTACACTCTGCGTATACAAAATGACAATAAAGTTTGTCTAAATCTAAGTCTTTTTGAAATGCTGGAAGACCTACTGAAGTCAACAGCTCAGGTGGGAAAAATGTGGAAAATAATGGATGGAATATGTGACAAGAGCTGTGTTAGGATAATTATCATTGAAGATGTGAGTTTATTACACCCTGCTATTGGCTGCCTGTTGCGTGTCAGAACTGACGTTATAATCCAATTAGGACAGTTCCTCTTTCCGGATATACAGTCATAATCTTCATTCTGTGTGTGGCAAAGATTTGAAAATGGAATGAGAGCCCTCCAGCTAAAAACTAAGTGTAATATTTTGATAAGGCTAGAGCCATGGATGTCTCATCATCTGCTAACATGTATGATGTAAAATAAGATGATGTGGCAGACTGAATTTGTATAAAATGCATTTTTAATTATTAATCGGGGCAACTTCCTGAGAGGTGAGCCCGGAGGTTAGCAGCTGCCTTCTGTACATTCTAAGCAATCTCTCTGATCTGAGTAAGATTATCATTTCTATCAGAATCTATTGTCATGTCTGCTGGTTATTTAATACATATAAGTTATGAAGTGTTATGTATACAGTTTATCCCGAGTTATCACTTTTCAGGGAAAAGAACCGGAAAGATAGAGCATCAGGGTGCATACAGAGAGCCTATCTTTAACAATATAGATCATTCTAATGTTTGATTTCTGATTTTGATATATTGTTTTAATTATCTTACTCTTCTTTGAATATTTTTTGTGATCTGTTACAAACTGCATTGGCTCTTTAACAGCTGGAAATGTTTTCATCACCAAACATATATTTTTAAGTAGATAGTGTCCATTTTGACAAAGATGGTCTATTATTTTTAAAACACTAAAGTTTATTTGCTCATATTTTTCTCACTGTGAGCATTAAACAAAAAATGTAATGGTTGGTGTAAAATCAAGTTTTTTATGTAAGATTATCTAAAGATAATAATCTAACAAACAGAAAGACCCAATATTTTTTTGTTTCAATTCAACTGAAGGAGATCAATGATCAAACAAGAGGGAACTCACGGCCACATCTTCTTCAACTGAACGATGATGCTCTTCCGATAAAAGTGCCCCAGAAAAATGAACATTTTCTGGATTCAGCCTCTTGTAAGACACCATTATGGTAAATTGAGCCTGTCAGGGTTGGACAAAACAGTTTAGGATGATCACTTGTTTCTTCTAATATATCAAAAATCAAGCGTCGTCAAAATCTAACTCTTTCAAACAGCTCATTTTAAGAAATCAATTACATTTGTCCACATTTTGATCCACAGTTGGGTTTCTTTCGGCATAACTCGTTTAAATTCTGCTGAACACATGCTTGGTTTGAACAAGTTTGAACAAAAAGGGAAATTTCGCTGCTAATTAAAGTCCAGTAGTACAGATTAGCAAAGCCTGTACCAGTATCGATGCAGAAACTGAAGACAAAGGTCTGCTAGCAGCAACTACGTTTCACTGTTGGCTAACTTTAGCAGCAGAATAAGCTTGAGCTAAAGTCAAAAGCGCTATATTATCATTATATATTATTCATTATATATTATTATTTTATCTTACCCGAGTCTTCTCTGAGCTTTTACATGAATAAATACAGCAGACGAACAGTCTTTCTCTTACACAAATGCCAGCATTAAGTGTTTCTATAACCTCGTCGTCCGCTTATGTTGTCTGTTTATCTGTAGGTTGCATTCAGGATCCCTGGGAATATTTATAACTTCCGGTTTACGACAGCCTAATCTAAAAACACAACTCGCATGGTAGGTTCAAAAAAAAAATTCCGACTTATATACCAACGAATAACTAATTTATTTTAAGTAATTGTTACTAATACAAAATATTTAATGCAGTTTTGGTCGAGATATATAACTTAGGCATAATAGCCGCTCCGTGATGCATTCAAATACAACTCGTACAAGGTGAGATCCCTTATAATGACCCCAAAATAAATATTTACTAAATATTGTCTTCGTTTTCATAATGTACATAAAAATAAATTCCAATAAAATAAAAAAAAAAACGCAAAAACATACAGCTCAAAGCAAAAAATGAAAACAAGATTTAAACAAATACATTTGAAATCACAGATTTCCCTTTTGTAGGAATACAAATAATAATGCTCCCTTCAGACCCATTTTGAGCGTCAAAAAGGTGTCCAGCTACCTCAACTTGGAAGTATGCGTACTTAACTTAAAACATAAGTCAGAGTGTGAAATAATAAACAAACAGTTGACACCCAGCAAAATACACCTACCTAGAAAATCTAATTAGCCTACATATATGCAAAATACTCAAGGGTGCATGGAGATATTTTTAACGCTTTCAACCACTTCAGAAATAATACTTTACTCACAGTCAAATAAAGCACAATGCAATGTTAGATGCTTTTATTGTAAGCAGAACACATGTTATACAGCTAGACAGGCACCATCAACACAGCATGGTATAATTTCCTCTTTGGACGATGCAACCTTTTGGTTCCATTATTCATTTTATGACTGTTGGTTCTGAACTTCTTTCTTTTTACTTTATGCTGCTTATTACATATAAGATAGGGCAATGATAAGAAAATGTTTCAATATTATTTTCAAGCATCTGACAATCTAGTATTTGTTAACCTGTATTATTGAACCGTAACCGATTCATGCCTTGTAGACGGCGTTGCTTCTTACATGTCTTGACAATGACATAATTCTTAGAAACATAAGGTAAATTAAATTTAAAAAGTATTAAAAAACAGAAAACAACAGTTTAAAAACATCACTCGGATGTTATTACTATGAAAAAATGAGCTAATGGCCGCCATAAGACTCAAGTGTACTTATCTGTTCCATGGTCACATTCAAAGTTCATTATAAGAGAAGTACTGTCTGGACAAAAAGAAACCACTGACATCAGTTTGTGCGATCCGCTCGAAAAGCTATTAAAATACACAAGTAGCAGAAGAATCTGAATAAATGAACTTGTAGTCAGTATATAAAACTCATCTTTGCAGTAAGTGTTTGATTTGGTCATTTCTAAACATGTCAGTTGCAGGAAATTACAGTTGTGTTGAAAATATCATTCTAATTCACCATCACTAACCAGATGAAAAACAGATTTTGGTAGAACTGATATTTCTCATTTGAAAATTATTCACTTCTACATGTTGTTTATGGTAATAGAGGACCAGAAGAACCTACGGCCCATGCTGCTAAGACTGTGTAACTGAATCATTAACTTTTGGTTGACTGATAAAAGCAAAAATGACAATTCAGATGACCTTCAATGGATCTGTTTACAAAAACATATATATTTTAAAAAGTCTTAAAATGGCAATTTTTATGACATTACAATCTCCAACATACCATTAAGCCGGATTTACCTGGGTTCTAGGCAAACAATTATGGAAAAGCAAGCCCAGTTTCTGTCCCTTGACCCAAATTAAAACTTGTGAGGTGACTTTAAACATGCTGCTTGTGGGACAAAAACAAGAACAGCAGAGGAACTGTGGAATGAAATCCAATCCAGTTAAAAAGGCTGATGCCAGTTGACTCCAAATACCACAGAGATGTGAAAATGTTCTTCTTAGACACACTGATAATAGAACAATAAATGTGATTACACTAAACCAGATTATTGTGAGTAGAATATACAGGGTTCCTAATTAATTTCTGTGTGTAATTATAAGCTATTAGGTGGATTTTACAAGTAAGTTTGAACACAACTGTACTTGAGGCCGGTACTACAAAGCAGGTTTGAAATGTCAGTGACTTTTTGAATGTAGACAAGCATGTCCCAATTGATTACTAGAAATTTTCTATCATTTAAAATAAAGCTGCAATTGAGGACTTTAAACCACATTTTCAATTTCTTCTCCAGGACTGCTCATTTTGTAAATTAATAAGAACAATAAGCTGAAGTTTTACATGTTATTTTCAAAAGTTGTCGCAGCTAAAATGTTCAATATTTCAAATTTGAAATTATAATTACAGAAAATTTAGTTTTATTTTAAAATCTTTTTTCTTATTCAAGGCTGCTCGTTTTGTAAAGATGTTCAAGAAAAGGAAGTTTATAATAGCAGTAAAAAAAAAAGTTTCCAAAATTTATCTTTAAATATCAAATTCCTTCATTAACAGAGATACTTTTTCATTTCAAAGTCAAAGATGCATGCTTTGACTCAAACATAAAAAATTAATAACAGGTAATCCAAACTCCTCGAAATGATTTATGTGACACGTTTTGCAGAGCAGACATGACAAAAAAACAATTTCTTCTTAGTTTTCTCTTCAGATCTAAAACACAATGAACAGTCTTGCAGAAGAAAATGAAAACAGTTTGATGATCTATTTGTAATTTTATTTAGAAGTTAATAAAATGCACCATTGTCTTTAAAATGAGAATAATTTTTGCTAATACATTTTCATTTTCGAATTTGCCATTTCTGATGAAGTTTGGTCCCTTTTTGTCAGGAAAAGCTTTTTAAAAATAAAAAATATATATTATTTAATTTATAAATGAAACAAATTTATAAATTGAAAGTTTGGATTAACATTTTTATTTATTTATCAGTAAATGCTTCTAACCTAAAAACTCTCACCATGCTCAATATATAAAGGAGTTAACTTAGAGCATGTTGTTTGATGCTTTTCACTTATGTGGTCTAAAAAAAATCCTAATGTCTGAGAGGTATGCTCTAATGCTTAATGGGGAATTTTCTTTTTCTTTACCTTTTGTTGGATTCCTAGCTGCTCCATTTATAAAACACTGCAGTACATTTTGAGTGCTGGATTTATAAAAAAACAATGGCAAAAGGAAGACATTAAATCACTATAATCCATGAAAAAAAGCCATAAAGGATAAAGTGCATCTGGTCATGGTGAGATGCAGAGTGATGCATCTTTATTATTCAGAGCATCTTGGAATGTGAGGAGCACCACATGCTGCAACCACAATATATTTTTTCTGCTGTTTCCAATTCTTTTAACTTTTGAGTTTGTAATTAATGTTTATTAGACTTATTCTTTTCAATTATTAATCGATTCTCTATATAAATACGTTTCTTGAGGTGCACCTGGCTGCTGAAACTATTTACTTATTTGTGAATAACTTTTACAATAGCGGGGTAAACCTCTAAGATTTTTCTTAAAATTATGCATTTCTTTATTTTAACTTTAAAATTATTTGAACGCTGAGCAATTAAAAAAGTTTGATTTTAATCCTCAGCCTCTTTTTAAAAAAAACTAAAACTTTAAGGAATCAAGCCGCATTTGAGATTGTGAAGGGCTTTCCCAGTGAAACGTAATTTTGGAGAACAGTACTGCTAAACTTTTCCTTTTTTATTACATTTTTCTAAATGATGAGAGCAGATCAGAGCTGATGCGTCCAGATATGTGGACCTTTAATCTGGAATTTTTACCGTCTTCAGGATAAAATGTCCCACATTGATGAACCAAAGTAAAAGCTGAGGTTTGTTATTCTTAAAAAAAACAACAACAAAAAAACCAACTAAGCCTTAAGTTACCATGATAAGCCACTAATCCTGATTTGTAGTAGATGCCTCAGGTGTGTTTCTAATAAAAAGGTTTTATTTTTACTTCAGAGAGATAAATATTTGTGTTTCTAACACTTGATATAGAAATATCACGGACGGGTAACAACAAATTCACAGAGGTAAACCCTTACTTTCCACTTTCTCATTTTACAGACTTGTAATAGTACTAGTATACATTTGCTTAAATAAATAGATCAGTCATTTTTCTCTGTTATGCACATGTTAATTGGAGAGTTATTATCGCTTTCATAGAGGTCGTCATTCTTTGGAGTGGTTGGAGAGTCTTTTGCGTTCTCAAAGTGTTTCCTCCTGTGGAGCCTGAGGCTCTGTGAGCGGCTGAAGCCTCTCCCGCAGACATCGCAGCCGTATGGCCTCTCCCCGGTGTGCAGTCGGATGTGGTTTTTCAGACTTGAAGGACGTGTGAAGCTCTTGTCACACTCAGGACAGTCATACTTCTCCCCCAGATGGATTTTTTCATGTTCTCTCAAACGGCCGGACTGATTGAAGCTCAGGGAGCACAAGGAGCAGTGGTAAGGCTTCTCGCCCGTGTGGATGAGCCTGTGTCTGTTCATGGCTCCCGAGTGGGCGAAGCTCTTGCCGCAATCTGGGCAGGTATATGGCTTTTCACCTGTGTGGACTTTAAAGTGACCTTTCAGTTGACCTTTCTGAGTAAACCCTTTCCCACACAGCGAGCACTGGTAAGGTTTTTCTCCCGAGTGGATTCGCATGTGGATCTGAAGCGCAGACATCTTGTGGCAGTCTCTTCCGCAGAGCCCACAGCAGTAGGAACCCTTCGTTGAATTGTTTCTACTTCGCTTTTCAGCAGGCGGTGTTTGAAGCCCACGTTTCGCACCGGGTTTGTCGGCTTCAGGATTTTCTGTAGACATTTTGGAAGGAGAGAGTTGTTCAACTGTGGTTCACTGGTAGCACAAAATAAAAAAACTTTAAAACGTCCTGTATCAATACTGAAATATATAAAATATGCTATCTGGAGATTGACACTCTTCACAATCAATTTTTACCAAGCATCTGTTTCTACTGAGATTGAATGGGAGTAATGCTGCTTTATTTACTGACAGCTTAAGAGGGACAATCTTTCACTTCTTGTTTGAATATTTTTACATTTTACTTTTGAAACAAATTTTACACAGATTATTTTATACAGTACTAGTTTCTGTTAGAGAGAAACTGGAGCTGGCAGGACAGCCTCAGAGATGACTTGGGGGTTAACCTGATCTGTGCATTTCTAATGTTACTGATGTATTGTAAGTGGAGGGACAATTTAAGGTGACAGTTTATTTACCATTTAATGGCCCCTCCTCTTCATCCTTCACTGTAATCCTAATCTCTGTGTTGCTTTGCTGATGCTCCTCTTTATTTTCCTCTGGAGTCTCGCAGCTCTCTCCATCCAATGTCTGGTCTGTTGTTTCCTCTACCAGGATAAGACCATAAGACACATAAACATTACATACCGTCACCGGGAATATGTACTTCTAATAAAACAGAAGATGAGAAGTAACAGTTCCAAGTACCGTATAAGGGTTCCTCTTCTTCCTCCTCCTTTACTATTACATTCATGTGTGGAGAGGGAATGCGGTTCTCTGAAGGGTCTTCTGCTTCCTTTAGAATAACTTCTGGCTGAGGAGATGTGGTGCAGTTACGAGGCTGTGAGGAGAGCGGCTCAGCTGCTTCCGGATGGGTTGAACTTTGATGCACCTTGAAATATAGTTTCATAGTAAACAAAACACACAAAATCACAGTTTTAAAAGAGGACTGCTGTGTTTTGTTAGTACCTCAGAGCTAATGCAGCTGGTCTTTCTCTCCTGAGACGACTCGTCTGTGGCAGCTTGAGTCACACCCGACGTGACGTTGGTAATAGAGTCGCTCTTGCTCTGCAAACACGACCGTTTGTGATTTCTCAGAGTTCCTGCCAAGGAGAAGTGCCGACCACAGTCGCTGCAGGTGTACGGCTTTTCCCCAGTGTGGATCCTCGTGTGCCGCCGAAGCTCCCCAGGAGCAACAAACGATTTATCACACTGAGTGCAGCTGTATGGTTTTTCTCCCCTGTGGGTCCTCATGTGCGTCGTAAGCGTCCACTGCTGGGCGAAGGTCTTGCCACAGTCGGAGCAGTGGTAGGGGGTAATACCAGTATGAAGACGCTCGTGTCTCACAAGCGTTCCCGACAAGGCGAATCGTTTGTCACAGAACGAGCACTGGAAGGGCCTTTCTCCGGTGTGAGTCCGCTGATGGTCCCTCAGCTCAGCTGCCGAGTTGCAGCTTTTCTCACAGGCCGAACATGGAAACTTCTTCCTGGTAAAGCCTGCGACAACCTCGCAGTGCATTGCCTCCAGGTGTGTTTTCAGGTGCCAGTGTCGAGAGAAACTCTTCAAACAGATGGAGCAGTGATAGGGCCTCTCGCCCGTGTGTGTGCGGCGGTGAAGCCGCAGCTCCCCCTGACTGGCGAAGCGCTTCTCGCAGAATGTACATGGGAACGGCTTCTCACCTGTGTGGATCCTTTGGTGAATCATAAGGAGCCCCTTTTCTGGAAATCTCTTGGCACACATGGGGCAGGGGAAAGGCCTTTCTCCTGAGTGAGTACGCAGATGCCGCTGAAGCTTAGAGGCATAAGGGAAGTCTTTTCCACATACTGAGCAGCGGTGGAGGGATGGCAGCTTTTCCCTCTCACTCTGAATCAGCTTCTTAGAGGGAGCCTCGGCAGGGACAATGCCTGAGATGGCATTTACTCCTGTAGGAAGACATTAAGTGACAACACAAAGAAGAGGGACAGACAATATTTAAGTGATTCAAGGACAGCAATGTGGCTTTTAACTACTATTTAAGATATTTTAATATCAAATCTAATCAATTCATTATTTTCAAGTCCTTTTAATGAAAACAATTTACAAATGAGAAAGGTTTACCTTTAAAACTTTTTGTTTTTCATGTAAACACCCTTTATACGACTTGATTTAACTTCAAGTTCAATCAAATACAAGCTGTGAAAAATGCTTATAAATCCAGTTAGTAGGCTCTGCCACTGTAAATAATATGTAAATATGACGTACAAAACATTTTAAGTTTTGAAATTACACAAAGGGTTAAACTATCAGTTAATGAGAACAGTTCTAAGAACAAAAAAAATGAGGCTGGTGTCACTCTGGAAAAATGGAAGCACAATGACTGCACTGGTGGGGAGGAAAATGACAATTTTTTAAAGAAAATTTGATTAATCCAAAAATAAAAAATAAAAATCAATCTATTGCAAAGCCTTAGAACAAAATCTAATACCTCACAGTTTCAACTAATGAGCTGTAAATAAACGTGCTCAATACTACAAGTTATGGTCTTTTATCAAAATAAATCAATACATTTAAATTCCCAGATTAGAAAAAGAAAACATTATCTGGGAAAAAATTATCACACCACCCTTGTTTTCTTCCGTTTCTTCTTCTAAAGGTATATTACCTGAAGAACACAATGAATACGACAAAAACAACAAATTCGAACAAGTGTGTTCTAATTTGTTGGGTTTTTTTTTTTGTTTTTTTATGAATGTAAATATTAAACATTCTCTCACCCAACTGATCTTAAAAACATATTTACTTACGGATTTCAGAGAACTCCACTTCCTCCCCGTCAGAGTTGATTAGGCCCCCTACTTCTTGTTCATCTTCATCAACAAAGACCGCTGCTGGTCCAAATTGGTCCAAGTTCTCTGAACCCATTTCTTAAATATATAGTCTAACAAAAGACAAGATCACCATAACAGTATTTGCAAATGTCTCATTTCATTAGATTAATATTTTCCCATAGTCCATTAATCAAAAATATTTTTACTAAAACAGCCTGGGTATACTGCAAATAATAACAATTATTAAACTTTATTGATCTCACACTGGAGAAATGTATCTCTGCATTTAACCCATCCCCTTAGGGAGCAGTGGGCTGCAATAGTGCGGCGCCCATGGAGCAGTGTGGGGTTAAGGGTCTTGCTCAGAGACCCAGAGTGCAGGCTTTGGGATTGGGACTTGAACTCAGAACCTCATGATTCCAAGCTCAATGCCCTAACCACCAGGACGCCACTCCCCTAAATTGTCAATATTCTAAATGGTTGAAAACTGAAAAGGAGCCCTTGTGATTTTCCTTGGTACAGTGTAAGAGTGAAAAAGAAATAGCGATCTATGAAATTGTTTAATTCACTAGCTTACAATAACTGTGAGCCAATTAAGTCTGCTAAGTAGCAATCATAATTATGCTAGTACTCAAAGGGGAAACAATCTAAACTGTCCAAATATAGACACAGGTGTAAAATAAATAGATAAAATGGTTTCCACATTTCTATCACATAATTATCTGATTAGAACCTCTTTAGCTTTGTTGCATGGTGCATCAGCGTCAACTTGTCTGCTTTGCTCGGAAGGTGAGGATGTGATATTGAAAAGTTGAGGGCATTATGGAAAACATTTGTAAGATGATAAAAAAAAAGACATGCTAGCTATAAGTACAGTAGATGGGGAAGGCTTTTGTGAGTTAATGCTTGTGGAATCATTGGTGCTTAGTTTATATGTCAGTGATTGATTATTTTATTATATATTTTTTATTTCTCTTTTTTTTATTATTGTTCTTGTTTTTGTCTATATGTGGACCATAATTGCGTCTAAATAAAGAGATTGATTGATTGATTAATGCACTTCATGAAGCACAAAATCTCAACACAAACAGCACAAAGTCTCGTCCACCACCGATTGTTGGATTTAAGAGAGAGAAAAGCAGCTAATGTTCACTTCATTAAAGCAAAATGGGAAATATTCTCTGTGGGAGCATGTCAGAGTGACATACCCTGTCTTTTAATGACAGGTTTACATCTCTGTATATAGGAGCCTCAAATATTTATTAATATTTTCTTTTTATTCAGTAACCTATAATGTTACTGATTACTTATATCGCATAAATATATCTCAGTTTAATAATTAAGAATTAAGAATTTAGAAAAAGAAAGTGTATTCAGACAAAATAAAATATAGCTCCCAACGTTTCTGCATATTGTGAAAAACAATATTTTACTCTTAGTGTTATAGAAAGATCCTGTTGATACGAGAGAAAAGCGGCGGCTTATTAATCAATAGTTAGTTAGCTTACATTGATCATAGACAGCACCTTTCACCTTCTGCACCAGACTGCAGAGAAGCTCAGCAGTTCCTCTAGTGACAGACTTATACACCCCCTGTGCAAAAAGGAGCGCTACTGTAGATCATTCATCCCTGCTGCCATCAAACTTTACAATACCACTGTGAAATAACATTATACAATAACTGCTGTGCAATAACCCTGTACAATTAGAAGTTACATTCACATATTTACTGTTTACACTTTCTTAAAACCTGAGTATTTGCACTCTGAAAGCACATACCTCTATGTACATGAGATAAATGTCAATGTATATAATATATAAGATATATAATCAATACTTCAAATAACCGTCAACTAATTTAAAAATGAATGAATCATAAAATGGAGTAAAATGACTCTAAAACGTGCTTTCAGCTGACAGAAGAACTGATTTAGAGCAGTAATTATAACAAAATTGTAAAAAAAAAAATAATAATATGTAAACATTTTGCACTTAAGATAAATTATTTTTCTCTTTCAATATGCTCTATCCAGAACTCCTAAGTGGAAAAGTTTTATATTCACTTGGTTTCATTTTAGATTTCTTAAAAAGTCTTAATAAAAATATAGAAATAATCAACACATTAATCCATCTGCAAAATATTATTATTTTATAAAGATTTTTATTTATATATCCGGAGAACAGTTCTAAGAACATATATATATATATACACACACATCCCTAAATAAAGTGAATTCATCCATTGTGAGATCAATAAAGTCCTGTCCTATCTCTTATCTTGATCGATAAGATCAATCAACTTTAGATTCATTCATTATTCAATAACTTACATTCCTAATTCCATGCTGAGAGTAAGAAATTATGCTCTTTATCTGATATAGATGAGCATCAGCTAAAGCCAGTAAAGGCATAGCTTAAAAGTCTTCGTCTTCCATCTGTTACTACAATGAAGGGTGTCTGAAAGGACTGACAAATGCATCCCCAAACTCGGTCCTCAAGGCCCCCTTTCCTGCAGGTTTTAGAGGTTTCTCTGCTTCAGCACAGCTGGTTATAATGATTGCAGTAGACCAAAAGCCTGTTAATCAGCTTTCAATTAAAATCAGCTGTGCTGGAGGAAGGAAACCTCTAAAACCTGCAAGACAGAAAGCCTTGAGGACCGAGTTTAGGGATGCCTGATGTAGAGGTTTGTACTTTAAGTGAAACAAATGTGTAAACAATCTGTATAGTTTAGTGAGGGACTGTAGGGTCTCCTCCCTAGAGGACATCCACCTTCTTCACCAAGGACAACCAGTCAGGGGGCGGAAAGGAGCCCTGGATGTAAAAAAGGTGTCTTCAAATAAGACGGACAGGATTTCTGTAGCAATGAGTCTGATAATGTGTCAACATATTTTCTATGAGTCTGATAATACAATGTGAAGACAGCAGCTAACGTTAGCATTAGCTTAAGGAGCTAATTCTGTGCATCTTCAGTCTCATATTGACTGTTTTCAGTAACTTAACTTGCAAAACTCGTAGTATAGAAGTCTCTAAAAAGATAAAAGAATAAACACAGCTCTCACAGTGGACTCTGTGAGCAGAGCGGACAGAAACTGACCAGGAAATAAGTTGCTATGATCGAAACAGCGGCGGTCATCGAGCTGGTCAACGACCACCCCCACCTCTGGAGGACCAGCGATCTGTGACAAGGCTGTTCTACTGCCTCATTTATCTCAATACTTTGTTCATATATACGTACATCTATATAACAAATAAATCCGGAAGATAAATGACCAGGGTCGGTGTGAAATTAGTAAAATTTTATCAAGACCTTCTCTCAGCTCTGGCAACACTTGCTAAATCTTGCTAGCTCACTAGACAATGGACATGTTGACCCACCTCTTCATAGATGGTTCCCTCGGATAAAGGAGGCAACTTCAAATCATTAATCACGGCAAGGCGGCAATAGCTCAGTTAAAACATCAAGTCCATGCTCAAACGTTAGAGGGCAAAGCGTGAAATTAATGTAAATAAACAAATGAGTCACGTTAGATAAACGACTGATGACAACACGTTGGTTGGTGTTACCGCGAGACTTCCGCTTATCAAAATAAAAGCGCTGGAAAGTTTAACTTCGTTCATAACGCGCCTTAAAAAAAAAACAAAAAGGGAAAATACCTCACTAATGGTAGGCAGACTGAGCAAATTATAAAAATGCTTAATACGGAAGAGGATTAGGGCCAATGAAGAAATAAAAAATTCTGACTTTCAATCTCAAATTTCTGACTGAATCTCAGAATTCTGACTTTACTCTTAGGATTCTGACTTCACTGACAAATATGTGAGTTGTTTGAGAGGGCCAGTAACACATTGGTGGAAAATGATGGAATTTAGGCAACTTTTTACGTACATGAGGGCTCCCCGGTGATGCTATTTCATTAATGGAGGAGCAGAAGGTGATTAAAACAAGAGAGCTAGTTTAGTCTGTAAAACAGACATGGCTTAATGCTAAAATGTTTTGTAGCTGTCGGAGTTCTGTCAGAATTCTGAGATTAAAGTCAGAATTGTGAGAAAAAGTCAGAACTCTGAGATTAAAGTCGGAATTCTGACTTTTTTTTCTCATATTACATTGAATTAAAATAAAAAATCAGTTAAGTTTTTTTTTATTTTTTCAGTGGCCCTAATCCTCTTCGGTAGTTTAATAATTTTAGATTTAGACAGATTTATTTTGTCATTTTGTACACAATAAGTGTAAACAAAAATAAATTTCGTTTAAGAACAGCTCTGTAGACAATTTAAAGTACAGCAGTGATTAAAAAAAAACAAAACACTGATTAAAAACAGTATTGTAAACATGATTGTATAGTTACAGTTCTAACATTCAGTTTTTTGGGTTTTTTTTTTTTATATATATAATGTCTGTGTATCTAAATTATTACCTCATTATTTTTTAAATGTGTGGTTGGTTTCAAGTCTATTGAAAAAGGAATTTGAGGTTGCATTGATTTTACTTAAATAGATTCAATTGCATACTTCACAGAAGTGAATGAAAGGAAGTCATTTACATACTTCCATCCATTACCTCGATCTGAAATAAAATTTAAGAGAAGGTCATTATTTTGGTTAGAAACATCACTGCCACCCTTATGTGGACGCCCATCTTTTAGAGATGGTGACTCAAGATGTAAGACCTGTTCGGTCCATCTCCTTCATTTTACATGACACCTCCACTGCCGTGCCTTATGTTGGTGATCAGAGGGCCCATTGATGCAGGTTGTATGGCTGCCTGCCTCCCTCCTGTATCCCTTCTACTTCCCTAAAACTGTCAGTTTTCCACTTTTGAAATGAATTCTAAAAAGTAAGCTATGTTCTACACTGCATCAAAGGAGCAACAAGGCAAAACAAACTATGCTTGTTTGAACTTAAAAGATTATCTTTCAAATGTGTTCAGAGTTTGACAAATAACACATGTGTATTTGGGGTTTTATTTGTGATAAACCTGAAGAAAGTAGTAAATAAGGGTTAAGTGGCAAGAAAATACCACATTTGGCCTGCAATTACTCTATTTCTATAAAAACCCAGTGCAACCAGTTATTCTTGGTCACTTTAAAACTGAAATTAGTTAAATAGCAACCAAAAGACAAAAGACCACAAACTTAACTGGACCTTCACCTGCTGGACCACAGACTTCAGGATTTGTTAGACCAACTAAAGCCGACTGAGAGAACTGATGCCAAGTAGCTTTAGTTTAAAATGAAACAGGGACCCTTCCATGTAATAAATCAGCTGTTTGTATCAGTATAGCTAAAAAAAAATATTTGAAAAGGTTGATAATTCTCTTTAGCTTTCATAAATACTGTATTAGCATTAACAAGAAAAAAAAACAAATCAGATGTGTTTCTACAAAATGTTTGTATTTTAACATTTAAAATAACATTGATTTAGTGCAACTTTAAAACATGTATGGTATTATTTGGCATGCAGTAAACAAACTAGGGTTGTCAAAATAGCCGTTATCTTAATATAATCAATACTAAAAAAAATATATTTGCATCAAACTTATTTGCATCAGTAACTATTTAATCCATTTACATTCGCCCAAAATGTTGCCCTTGTCTGAGCCCCTGTCCCTCTCTGAAACTGCTTAACAGACCAAAAAACAAGTCCATCCAAAAGCTGCAAATAAGCAAGGACCCTTAAGCCAGTGGTCATCAATTTCTGTCCAACTAGTAGGGAAAGGGAAGGATGCTTCCTATACATAGCTCATTTAGCATAGAGTCCTTCTGAGATTCCTATCTGGCACTATATCTATTCCCACAATCCTTTGCATGACGGGACATTTAGGCAAAGTCCACCCCATGGAACTTGACACAGAGACATTATTTTTACCATGTACTCTGTGTTCTTTTTCAGAAGGCTGCCTCTCTTTGATTTGCATGTGTGATTCGGTTGCATAATAATCTCTAGAAGGCTAAAAACTGTCTGGATTCTGTACAGCAGTTCGGAGTTCCTTTCCTGCCCACAATATTGAGTTTAATGTTGTCCCCATGAAAGGTGAAGGCAGAGGAGCTAAGAGCAACAATTTACACTATTGGGATTGAGGATCTGAGCCACCACTGGAAAGCTTTGAACTCTGCAAATATGGGGAGAACATACAGCTGGTTGGTGGTGATGTTGCACCAAACTGTCGCCTACATGTCAAATACCTTTAAAAAGCAAAAAGAGTACATACCAGTTAAATCATATTTGACTCTCTGTAGCTGACAAGTCAGACACAAAGATGCAGAATAACGACAGCAAAAACGATGTGTTAAACGATGCCACATGCAATCTGCAAGTAATGCTACAGCACTGATGTTTGACAGGAATTTAAAAAAACTTAGTAAGGTTCCTGTATCTGCTAAGATTACCTTTTGTTGCCTAACGCTTTTGAAATGTTATCTCCACAGCACTAACAGAGGAATGATGGTGCTTTGTCAGTCTGAGCTTTCTCATCAAGATGAGCCTCCCAGGTCTGCTGTTCTACACCATCCAACACTCCTTTTCTAATGATGCAATAATCCATTCTAGATTTGTAAATTAACCCAGGGAAATGTTAATCAGCTGCTCAGTCAGCTACTACATAGTAAAGCAACTAAACAAACTTACCCTGATTCTCCATTATTTCCTCAGTATGCTCAGCCCTCCCAAGACTGAACAAGGTCCTGAGAAAAGTGTCACCAGGATGCTGACTTCAGTTAAATAAGCTCATAGGATACTTGATAAGGTTGATTATAGTGGTATTGGGCTCTAAGGAGCCACTAGGTTATCTCTTTCTTTGGGTTAGGTCTGGTGTAGCTATACAAAGCATTGGAGACTAGTGGACGTTAACAAATAGGTAAACTGTAAATAAAACTTTTTTTGCAGATAAACTGCATAAATTGAGCCTAAAGGAGACTTATCGTCATGTTACTGTGCAAATGTTCAAAATTTGGTGAGTAATATTGTTAAATTCTGTATTATTTAGCCCCCCCAAAAAAAACAAGCTAAAAGTACCGGACCTCTTTGGGTTTGAGGGTGGCTACCGCAGTTTGATTCTCCTGCCAATTATAAATGGTAATGCTTAGTTGATGTCTACATCATGGCCCAACTTTCAGGTATAAAACCATCTCACCCAGACACATCACCCCATTTTGGGTCAGGATTTAGACCAGAGCACTGATCAGTAGCTTTTTTTCTGAATTTTAGTGAAACCTTCAAAATTTGTCTGTGGAGCCAGAAAAAAAAAAAAAATCAAAGAATCTGCAGCTGCTGCAGTCGATCACCAGTGGAAAAAAAAAAAATTACAAGAAAGACAGAATAGGACTGAATACAGGAAAACCATAAAATATGTCCATATCTCTTTTAAAACATAACTTATTTTAAAAAAGAATTATCATTTATTTGTCCCTCAGTAGTAAGATGTATCTGTGTCGAATACACAGGGAAATGGTATCACACAATGGCATAATAATTATAAACAAGTATAAAAAAATAAAATATTTCCACAAATGTATCACAAGTACATAGAGTACTTGATACCGACCGACAATGATTGTTTTGTCTGTTTTACAAACAGAGAATCTACACTTCAGTTATCTATTTCTCTAACCCAGACTTGAATCGTCGTCTAATCGTTGATTTTGCCTTAAATTATGTCATATTGTAATTATTAATATTTTTGCCTTTAACAGCAAGGAATCTTTACCTTTAGAAAAATGTCACAAAGTGAAAATTATTTTTGACTATTTTAATTAAAATCTGTATCAAGTTTGACATTTTTTTTTACCCAAATACAAGCCGAATACAAAAGCCCTAAAATCTTAAGAAAACAAAATTTAACAAAAGGGCAACCAGTGAAGAGGAACCATTAAAACATAGGCACACAATTTAAACACAACAAAGACATCACGGTTAGCCACCAATATATTTTGGCAACCATGCTGAATCCTTAGCACATTTCCAAACACAGAAACTCTATCCTCGGCAGTAGGAATGGAAGATAGAAGAGGAAGAGTAATTTACAGCAACACTGCTGAATAGTCTATAACAGGTGTTAGATTTCCATCTTGTTCTGTTGTTTGGGTCTGCCAAGTTGCTTGGTTGGCCCAATGCGGGGCCCAGCGTGCGTCCGCTGGTGTTGCCGCAGCCCCTGCCTGTAGATGAAACTCTTTTCACACTGCCCACACTTGTAGGGTCTCTCTCCAGTGTGGAGCCTGTGGTGGACCTTCAGTTCCTCGGCTCTGGAGTAGCCTTTCCCACAGACGCTGCAGATGAACGGCCTGTCCTTAATGTGGGTCTGGTAGTGTGCATTTAGGTAGGAGTTGATCTGAAACCTCTTTCCGCAGATGGAACAGGCATAAGGTCTCTCCCCGGAGTGCTGCATCTCGTGAAGTTTGAGGGAGGAAGCTGTGTGGAAACCTCTGCCACAGAGCGAGCAGAGGAAAGGTTGCTCACCCGTATGGATGCGCTGGTGAATTTGTATGTAGCTCTCATTGATGAACCTCTTGCCGCAGTCCGGGCATGAGTAGCGCTTCTCCTTGATGTGTGTTTTCATATGCTCTCCCATCTTCTCTTTGTCTTCAAACTGAATGCCGCAACGGCGGCAGAAGAGGAACTGTGACACGCTGTGCTCGGCTGGTTCCGATCCAGCTGTTGCCTCGCGGTGTGAAGTGACGTGATGGGCCTGTAAAGCCGACTGGCTTTCGCAGTCTTTCCCACACTCTAGACAGTGCAGGGACGACCGGATTTTAGATTCCCCTGGCAGGGACTTCAAATATTCAGAAAGATCAGATGGGGTTGGATTCACCTCGTCTTCTAAGTCTGCAGCATCTTTTTGACCTATAAAAGAGAACAGAGATATTATCCATGCTTTAGAGTAAACAACAGGTCATATAGATCATTTCGATTGGCAAACGGTCACCGTTATGCAAAGGAAGCTGGCTGTTTACTGAAGTCTATATTCAAGCTTTTTACTGGAAAGTTGTGTGGAAGGAAAGGAGTTTGTATAAAAAGGCATGTATGCAACAAGGGTATCGGCAGCTTTAACAGGGATGGGAACATAAACCCATTCAAGGATTTTTTTTTTTGGAGATTCACAGTTTGTGGACTGTAGCCAGTGTTTAAAAAAAAACAACATATAGCCTTAAGGAGATCCAGAAGATGGGTTCAGTTGTTAAGTAAGGTTTATAGTCGGTTTTCAAGTAAATTTACATTTTGCATTTCACAAAAAAAAAAAAAAAAAATCATGTTGAGATAAACATAGAGGGCCACAGATTCCACGATGGTTGAGATCCTGTGTGAAGTTTCCACTTATGTAATGATTTGTGGAACCATACCATCTTTATTTAGTCCACAAGCTGTGAATTCTGCTTTTACAGTTTCTATGTTATTCTCTATTACTCCTAAGGCTGTAAAAAGCACCAATACCTGCATTACTGGATGTGGTAACACTGGTTTATTGTCCAGCAATCTAACCCCTCGGTTCTACTAGATGTGGAAGCGGTGTTTACGCCCCACGGGCCGTTCCACTTCAGCTGATGGCAGCAATTATAGTCATTCCCAGTGTTTCCACTGGGCGTGAGGCAGCTGTTATGCTTGCTGCTCCAACTAGACGTCAATCTAGAGCAGATCGTATCTGTCAGGTAGTTCATTTGGCATTCAGTTGATGAAAAGCAAAGTGAATCCAGGTGAGCATTGAATCATAAAAAAAAACTATATATTTGAACTAACTTTACTGGTTTATTGTTCTGTTTAAAGGCTACAAGAGCAATACTATAGCGCCATGATGGAATGCTGATGTGATCTGAATCTAATGCGACTTTTACACCGGACGAGCTTTGGGCAGCCAAAGCAGCTGCTTTACATGCATCTATGTTTGACGTGCATCAAGGCGCTTTAAAAGGTCTTGTAGCGTGTTTCGAACAGCAGCAGCAGCAGCAGCGCATCATGTCACATCTAAGCAGCTGAAGCAGTGGCTCTTGACCTTCTGAGCATTTGAGGAGCATGACATGCCTCACAAGCAGCAGCTGCTGGAGTTGGAAAAATTGAACTGTTGCTGCTCCACGAGCCAAATCAACCAATCAGAAAGCTGATCCGGGAGCTGGCAGGGAGACAGACACAGCACTGCTGATGCAGAACGCTATGATCACTCCATTGAAACAGTTTATTGAGGCCTGAATTAACTTAAAATGACAAAACCTGCCAGCAAAAAATGTTTGCTTTTATTATTCTGTTGCCTGCAGTTTGCACCACATACCTGAAAAACGCTAACATCTACTTTGATTTACCACAAACAGTAGGGGAAAAACCCCAAGAGGTGCCCCGGTCTGAGGCAGCTGCTGCTGGGGATTCCCAGTGACAGTGCATCACCGATTTGAGGGGATCTTAGTGCCTCCAACAGCAAAATAATATTTTCAGACAGGATTGCAATCTTGATGAACTGACTGCACAGACGAAGTTTTGAGGTGGACTTTCTCAGAAAAAAATATAGTAAAACTACTTTTTACCCACTGATCATGGCTAGTGTAGCAAAGCCGCTCTCTGCTATTTACACTTTACTGGACGCACCTTAGGCGCATCAAAGACACTCTTAAGGCACGTCTGACCTTGATGTGTACAAGCATAAAAAAATGAAGCAGCAGATGTTTTTTTTGCTACTCAAAGAGCGTCTGGTGTGAAGGTAGCATAACCACGCAGAGTTGCTCATACACGCTGCTTCCACACCTAGTGGAACGGAGGGGTAATAGACTTTTTCAAGATAGAAATTTTTGGATTAAAATGATCCCCAATGGTTAAAACAGCATCTATAAATATTAGAAATATAGCTGCGTGTAATGGATCAGTATTATTTAGAAGTTCACTTTTAGAACAGTTATACAGAAATAAAAGAACTTTTTTGATGATCTCCAGTTTGCAAAGCACTGTTGAAGGCTCTCACCAAGGTGGACTTTGAAGTGCGTTTTGAGATTCCCTTTCTGATTAAAGCCCCGACCACAAATGGAGCAGCAGTAGGGTTTTTCCCCCGTGTGGATAAGCTCGTGTCGCTCTAGTTTGTACGCATGGGGAAATTCTTTGCCACAAACAGAACAGCGGTACTCAATTTTCTCCTTGGGTTGTTTCAGGAGCTCAGGAGGGATTTCTATTGGTCCACTGAAAATCTTTCTCCGAGGACCACGCTTCCCTATAAAGAGGAAAAACAATTAAAATAGAAAAAAAGACATGACATTAGTTAAAACTACCACACCTGCTCCAAACTGTGTTTACCATTTTTGGTGTTTTATAGCTGTTTCTTCTGCCTTCACAAAAAAAAATAAGGAAAAGCCAAACACCAGGTTATTGAGAGATGTTTGAACTGAACAGTTAAATTAGGCCCTGCCTTCAGCATTAGTAAAAATCTCTGGATATCAAGTCCATATCCCCACCACACTAGCAATGTCATCTAGAAAAAACATCTCACATTTGAAGGCTTTCTTTAAAAGTCTGTGTTCATAAAAGGTTCAAACACACACAGAAATAGAATCAACATTTAGGACAACATCATTGCTTGTGTGAACCAGTCCTTCCATTAATGCTGGCCTCAATTTTAGTTAAGAGGAGTTCTGAGCTTAGAATAAAAAGCAGGAACATCAGCTGACAAAGTCCTAAGAGGACTACAGTTCAAATTTATGACAATCCACTGACGGCATCAAATCAACAAAGTTAAAGGAACTTTTACAATAAACTAATCAGACACATATTATTGTAAGATCTATTCCTGTGAGCATGACACTCTTCTGCCCCAAACAATAAAAAATGGATACAGTCATTTTCAATAAGTTAGAAAATCAATAACGTTTATTTCAGTACCACCACTAAAAATCATTTGGTTCTTAAATATAGAAGTGATGGATTAACTTGTTATAGGAGCTAATTTCTGATTTTAGGCCTCAAACTTTAATTTTAATTGAATAAATCTCGTCATTTGAAGTTATCTTGCTACATTGACAGATAATCTCACTTGTTTTGAGAACCTTTGACCTCAGATTAAATGTTTTTTTTGCTTATCATTAGATGCTTCACTTTTGCAGTGTAAATGAAATACATTAAATAAGTTAATTACACCTAGACTGATGTTTTCAAGCCTTTATTTCAGTTCATTTCCTCTCATAGGGGTTGGTTGGGTTCAGCTCACAACAGGCATGACATTTTAGATTAACTACATATGATCCATTAAAATAGCTCTACTTGAGCCATTATTGTATCTAAAAGGGGATTGATGATTATTTGCACTTTTCTCATCACATAATCTTTCATCAAATCATTGCTACAACAAAAATAGAAACTGATCAAATGTCCTAATCCACCCTGATCCACTAGGAACTATTTTTTTTTATCTGCAGTTAAAAAGTCATAACTCAGGATGTTTAAAGAATCCCCTGCAAGAAAACATCTGGTGCTTCTCTTACCTGTTGAAACACTTTTCTTTTCTACCTCAGCAGACGGTTTGGGTCCTTTCTTCCATAAAGGTCGTTTTGCTGTGCAGAAAAAAAAGTATCTGTTCTAAAAAATACTAAATCAACAATTGTGTTAACAGTTTTAAAAACACTATTATCCATAGAGAGGGATTTATCTATAGAGAAAAACAAAAAAATGAAATAAAGGGATCCAACTGATTTTGTTATCATCAGGTATCTGAACCTGGTCATCTTAACACAGTTTTAATGGTACTTCTCAAACCCCACACTGCAAAATCTTAAACAGAACTACCAACAAACTAGACCGTATATGACTAAATATATTCACATCTAGAGCTTTCTAAAATTTTCTAAAATTCCTTGTCAGATAAAATAATCCAAAGTGTCATTATTTACAAACTTACCAGTAACACAGGGGATTGTTTCTGAATTTATTTTCTCTGGTTCTGCATAGCTGCAAATATTTCTTCTTCTTCTGCTTCTCCTTGATACTTCAAAATAAACAAAAACAGTGAATCTTTAAAAGAAAAGCAACATGCTAAATGTCATATTTAACTAAAAAAGCTCTTTAAGAGCAGAGATCTCCTCAAAGCAGAAACTTTGGTCCCATATTGTGGATTCCACCTATAGCTTAATCTCAGAGATATGCTGGATCATTACCAAATTTAAACAAATCATTTCTTGGTATGAGGCACACCTATGGTAATAAAAAAAGGATCAAAATCTGTTTAAAATCTTTAAAATATATCTGTTACCAAACACTGTTCTTTTTGTCAATGATGGCGAAATAATTTTGTTGACGCTCCTGATGAGCTAAACGTGGAGCTTTGATGACTAGTAATAGGCTAGAGTTTTCCTCAATGAGACAAGACTAAATAAAAATTAGCGGTTGGTCGGTCAGACATTTAAACTGTATCATTGTGCTGTAACCTGCTAAGCAGCATCAGCAGTGCACATTCTGCATGACCACATATGGATCATGGCAGCAGCAGCAGGGGTGAAAATAACCCAGAATCGTCCGGTACTACGCGCTCAACTCTGACAAATTCTGCTCTTCCAGCTGTACTTGTGCAGATATGCGTATTTGCACATGCGTAGCTCAGAGCCTACACTTTATACTCCACACTGATGATTCACTCCTGTAAATTCCTGTTCTCGCTACTTAATAAAGTATGTGGCCTATCATCTTCTGCCAAGTCTAAAAATCCCTTTGTCTATCAATACTATCAATATTTTATTTATTCCAGTTCACAAGGGGTAATACTAAATATTCTTTAATTTCTACCAGAATTAATCCCTAAATTATATCCAAATAAAATATTTCATTTCATTCTGTTTATTTTTGGATAAAAAGCCAGGTGAAACGGTACATAGCTCTTTGAATATTTCTTTCTCATAGTTCTCATTTCTTTGTATTCAAATATGATGCAAATGTTTCCTTGTATTGTCATAAAACATTTTCTATTTTTCCTTTTAATGTCAACATTTTAGTTAGCATATTCATTCAATTTAGATCTGGATTGCCATGGCATTAAAATCAGAATCAGAATCAGAAATACTTTAATAATCCCAGAGGGAAATTACTTTGTACAAGGCAATTATGTAGGTTCTCTCTGTATTTTTTTTATATTAAAACCCTGTGAATTTAAATCTACGTTGACCCCTGAGCAGCGGTAACCAAGAGACCAATTCTCAGAAATAAAGCCAAAATTGGCAAAGTAGAAAGAAGAATGTTTTTTTTCTTTTCTTTTTTGGAGCAATTAAGATTTTATTGAACTGTGTGTAATGCATAATTCATAGTAGATCAGGAAGTCTTTGCTTTGGAATGGAAACCTTGTATGTCTAAACCATTCCGTTATTCTACATTTTGTTAGCTTGTCTTTCTGCTATATTAACAGAATAAGATCTGCTATTTTCACAGCTTGTGTGAGACACGTTTTTTTAATAAAGTAGGACATTAATTCATAAAAAAAAAAGTTTATTTGAATTCTATAAATCAAAGTTTTCTGCCCAACAGCAATGATGAACGGCACGGCAGCATTCTATACCCAGCAGTTGTATCTAGGCAAGAGCTGTCAGTCTGGTACAGGATCTGGCTGTTATTCGAAATTGCAAAGGTTAACTTTTTTTTGCAATATAAAACTGACTAAAACCTTTTTAGTCGACTAAAACCGACTAAAACTATCACATATAGTAATGACTAGAATGCGACTAAGACTAATAATAGTTTTCTTCCTGTCAAAAACAACACTGTTACCAAACCAACAAATTAAGTCAACAAACATGAGCAAAAACATAAAATCCTCTGCATAAATGCCATTAGATCAGCTAATGGAGTTTCAGGGAGAAATTCATGTACACTTACAAATCAAATGAATTTATTTAATGCTGTTTTGAACTTTTTTTTCAATAAGTGCAAAATAGTTTATCAAACTTTAATGAAGTCAAAAGCTAGACTTTTTATTCAGAAGGTACAATCTATTGTGGGTTTATTGGGGATACATCTCATTATTTTATTCCTTGAACTAAAGGCTCTACAAAGTTTTTTTAACTGGCTATTGTCTATTAACTTCTGCTTTGTAATACAAACTGGTATAGCTTGTAGTTTCTCATTGGAAGCTTTAAAGATAAAGATTTCCTCATAACACAGTTTAAACCCAAATGCCGCAGCTTAACCATGAATTGGGAAGTAGCCAAGTGAAAGAAGAGCTAGCTGTAAGACTGACAGCCTCTAGAACGAAGGCATGGTAGAGCAACCCAAATGAAAACAAAATAAATGTCTTCTAAAGAACACTTTTATAACCACATGAAACAAAGATTGTTCTGTGACAAAGTCAATTTCAGTTTTAAAATGTAAAGATAGAACCAACTATAAAGCCTGGTGCTAGTGCTATTAAACTGTGGGATGATTTAATGCTAGAGATAGTGGTGTAATGCACCAACACAAAGTCACACATAACACAGACTGAAATACTAATAGGAGGAGGAATATCTCTAAATGTGTTTAACTTCACCCCAGATAAAAAAAAACTAAGCAGTTTCAAGGAGCCAAAACACACAGAAAAACTAGCTTTAGAACGGATACAAAAACAAAGGGGGTAAATGGAAAGCTTGTTAATCAAAGGAGCTCTATCAGTTCTGCTAACTTAATATATGCAGACAAATTTATGGCAGAAAGTTGATGGCGACAGAAAGCCTGTGGTTGAGGCAATGAATGTATAAGGCCTTGGTTTATAGCTTGAAGCATGCTGGAATTTTAATTCCCTGATAAATCTTATATTGTCTATCCAAATATGTGTTTTAATTGGCAACTTAAATACAGAGCAGTTTAAAACCATAATTGAAAGCCCAGAAATATGTCATAATTTGTGTCCATAAGCAGTAGAAATATACTTTTAAGAACTGAGGAACAAGAAAAACTAACCTCCTTCATTTGTCTCAGAGTCCTCCCCACACAGCAGTGGAGAGCAGGAAGGCTGTCTCCTGATTCGTCTTCCTAAAAGATCACACACAAGTAATGTGTTGTTACACCAGTTATAGCTAGAAAAAAATATATCTAAATATCATTTTCAGTTGTACATCTTTTATGCTTCTAATAACCTACCAGTGCTAAACGGGACATGCTCTCCTTTTTTTGGGTTTTCCAAAGACTGCAGCCTAACCTTTTTTAGTCGTCTCCGTCGTGTTCTTGCTAGAAATGAAAAAGAAAACGGTTCCAAAAGAAAATCATGTTTTCTGTCTGTATATTTATTTTATTTTTCTCTAATATAGCACTTACAAGGATGTAAAGGTGAGATCTTTGTCGTCTTTATTACTCCTTCTTCCCATTTCCGTTCCTTGTCTTCCTCATCATCTTCTGTAACTTCCATGATAAGTCCTGGAGTACTGCTGTCCCTCTGGTTTTTGTCTTTCAGTTCAGAATCATCCAGAATGACTTCCTGTATTTACAACCAATAAAAAAACATCCGTTATAATAGCATAAAAGTGCACTCCATATGTGTCTGTAAAGGATGTGGTCCAGAATGAAAAGAGGGTTTTATGTTGCTTTCATTTCAATGCTGGAAGGCAACAGTTAATTGGTGCTAACAATACTTGGTGAGAAACCTTAAAACTGCAGCTAACTGGTGCCTGCCTGAAGGAAAAAGAACACATAAAAATCCACTATTTTTGAGGCTTCGTGTGTGGTCATATATTTACAAACAAACACATTTTAAAGCTTTGTTTTTAGATAAAACCCTCCATCTTCCAAAACCGAAGACACTATATTTATAACTGCTATGGTTTTTCTAATATCATCCACCGAGCACAACAAAGCTTGAGGGAAAAACAGATTTATAGTGGATGACATCACACAGCAGCGTGGAGAGGGATGGTTTTCTGATGAGGCTCATACATTTTTACCTCGCTGTCAAGCCCACATCTTTTGCTCTACAGCCATCATTTTTTGTCAGTTTGTAGACTGAAGCTTCTGTTTTCACACAGTGTCCTGGAATTATTGTTTGAGTTGTCGTTTTCCTTAAAACCCCTCCAGACCGACCAAAAAGTGACTAACTTTGAGGGGATTTTACATAGTAATTGAAGAAGCAGACAACAGAAAAGCAGCTGTGAGAAACTGTTTTTATATCATCATAAATATTTTTCTGAATGAAATACAGACATGAATTTAAATTCAATTGAAGAAGAGGGATGGCTGTCGTTCAGGATGATACAATTTTTTTTTTCAATTTTAAATCTGCAGCTTTCGTAGGGCAGTCATTTTTTGGGGGGATTTTTGTCCACCTCTTAACATGGATCCCTAAGAATGATGAGCACAAATGCAGGTGTGACGAACCAACCAGGCTTTTTCCCTATTTTAAAGGCTGTGGAGTTAAAGGCACCCCGCGGACTTTTGTGACCTAAAGAGTTGATGTATATGAGTTATTTTAAATGATTCTTCAGGCCAATATACAGCACTTGATGCTATCAATGCTACAAGCAGGGCCCCCTTATTGAAATACCATCTTAAACACATTTAAATATTTTAAAAGATGGACCACTCTCTCTAAAGACCACTCGCTTTAAAAGAAAGCATAAAAATTACCTTCTTAGATTGAGAGACTTCAGTACAATCAGACTCTTGGTCAGAAATGGCTCCTGTAAAGATGGACAAAGACATACAAACAATTTATCGGAAAGCTAAAGTGTTTGCTAAAGTAAGATATTCAGTCCAAGCATAATTCATTCATAAAAGAAGGAACCTTGAAGTTAACAGATTGTGTCATGTAAACCTGAATGAGACCTGTACAGTCCCTTTGATCTCCAGGACTAGATTGCAACAAATTCAGTAAAACTTAATTCAGTCTAAAGGCTATAATGTTGTTACTGTGCTCAAAAAAAGGGGTTTCCCTCTATGAGCATTTTCAGCCTTATGTGCATTTTTATTCTTGAAGGATGAATAAAGAGCAACAGACTCAGCTTATATGCTGATGATGTAGGTAATGTAGGAGATCACTCTGAGACCTTTCTATGTATGAAAGCGTTGATGGTTGTTAGAAATTCTTTAGAAATGGCAGTAAGTAAACATTAGATTTCACACCTGACAGAAACAAGAAAGAGCTGTAAGGTAACTCACTTCCATCCCATTCCGTCACCTCTCCATCCGAGTTGATTAAACCTCCAATTTCCTCCACTGGTTCTTGCTCATCATCCTTTTGCCCCGTCTGAAGTCTTACAGTTAGATGGAGTGCAGAGGCCATCTTTGGATGGGTACGTCCAGAAGAATGCTAAGAGCAGAGCACACCTAACATCAAAAAGTGAAGATAACTAAAAGGAGGACAGCAGAGGATTTTATCAATAGGCTTCTTGCAGAAAGTTTTTTTTTTTTTCAAATTCTATTCATTAATTTGACAGCAATACTGGAAGATGTTACAGATGTTTTAACTTTCTTGTCACTGACAGAAGTAAGGGTTTAATTGCAAAATACAGCTGTGCTTAAAAGTTTGCATGCCCTTCTATTAAAAATCAGCTGCCAGTAAAATAAAATGCATAAGTAAAAATAAATGAAAATGATAAAAAATGGAAATCATGAAACTTTAAAAGATATACATACATATGTATATATTAGGGCTGCAACTAACGATTATTTTCCATATTGATTCATCTGTCGATTATTTTTCCTATTAACCAATTAATAATTGTGTAGTCAAAGATTCCTTACAGAGGAATATTTAATTCAAAATGTTTCTATATTGTTAAATTACTTTATTTAAATGACAGCCGTCCTCTTGGGTTGGGTTACTCGAAAACTTACAGATTTTATGTGCATTAATATCTTTTTTTGTTTTGATACAAAACCATTTTTTCTGGGCTGTTAATTACATTTAAGATCAAGGCTGAAACAGTGAATTAAATTGATTACTAAAATATTTAACAGCTTGTTAAGTAATCAATTTAACAAGAGTTGATTGACTTAGGGACAGTTTATAAAACATGTAATTTTCTAATAGAAAACCCCAATCAGAGTAGTTACTAACCCAAAAACGACCATAAAAGATAAGAATCTTGCATTTAAGATAAAAAACCCTTAAATATGCTCTATTAAGAGCCCCTAAAGGGACGGTTTTAGCTACACTTGGAACCAGTTCTGTAAAAAAAAGTCTATTAAACACCTTCTTTATTTAAGTATCATCACTCAACTAATAAAAAAAAGTCAATAGATTAATAGATTAGCAAAATAATAGTCGCATCCCTGCTTATGATTATACCAGAATCAACCTTTCCTTGTAATAGTTATCATAGAACTTTTGGATTGTTTACTGCATCATGTTTTTTTTTTGTTTTTTTTTTTGTTCAGATTTATTCAGGGATAATTTAGATAGTATTTAAGATCTAACTGTAAGATGGAGCCTCTGTCTTCAATTACTATTTCATTTAACAGTTGTTGTCCACTTCTCTTTGTTTAATTTGATTTAGTAAAATCGTCCCAAATTTCTAACTAAAGTTTTGTGTAGCAGTTAAAGGAAAAAAAGGATTTAGTTAGGTTACATACCCTCCCATTAAAGAAAATGATGAATTCACACTAGTAATTAAAATAACACCAAATTTGGTTCTGTTAAGTAATTTTTCACTGTTGCTGTGGACACCTATAAATATCCAGGGTATGTTCCTTTGTAGGTTTTCACTGTCTTCAAATGAGTCTTCAATTCTAAAACCTGTGACAGGAAATAAAAAGACGTTTCTCAGAGAATTGTATTTTATTGTGAACCATCTCCTTTAATCTTCCCATAACCTTCCTTTAAACTCTATCCTAATGAAAATATTTTCTTCTCCCTTATACACTGCTATTTTTAATATAGTTCTATCTAAACGGTCTCCCTCTTGTTTAAAAACATGCTATCCATCTGTTCTTTAGAGTAAAACTCAACCTATCCTTAACCTTCCTCCTACGTCCCCCTATATAGATAACAGATCACCATCACTATCATTGCACATCATGATGAGTGGTCAACATGTAAGGGATGAAATTTTATTCACCTGAAACTAATTCTTGAAATTTCACAGACAGCTTCTCCACACTCATACATTTCCTTTATTTAATTGATAATAAAAGTGCTACTGGGGGTCAGCAGAGTTTTCCTTTTCAAAAAGATCAAACCCACTGTTCAAAATGTTGGAATTTTCAGCTGCCTCTGCCAGAAATTAGGTTTTGTTTTAGCAAACCAACAAAAAAAAAAAAGAAAGAAATATTACTGAAACAGTTTGGCCATATACCAAAAAATAATCAACTAATTTTTGTTGCTCTATATAATTAAGATTAAACCACAAGGATGTAACTGTGGGCTCCAAACCATCAGGGGACCAAGAGAAATACTCCCACTAAGGGACTCTTGGGACTTTATTGGGATTTTAAGAAATGTAGTTAATAAAATGAAAAATAATAATTTTGTTATAAGTGGTAAATATTTACTGCACTCTTTTTAGATATGCCCCTTTATTTACCAAGAAAAGCACAAAATACAATCTATAGCGTGTAGAACAGAGTATGTTTGCTTTATCCTGATTGTTTAATGTTACAATAATACTTTTTTTTTATATTAACCAATAAATAGCTGTTAAAAAATTTAACCAGAGGTATGATGTAACCACTAAATTAAAGATCAGCCTAAAAATGTTTTCTAAATTGTGAATGATGGGTAAATGTTTGGGATTTTATGAATGCACAGCTTTTAAACTGTCAATGTGTGACAGTAAGTCAGCTGGCAATTTTAAACTTTGGTCTAAACCATAATTAGTGAATTTCCATCCTACTAGCAGAATGTAATAAAACTTTGAAAGAGCCTAAAAAGATCCTAAAGTCAATGGAGGGCCGATATCAATATATGACTGGATTGTAGTTTTACTAACAGAACTGATCTTTTTTATTTTTTTTATTTTATGTGTTTCTTGTGTTTTTATGTGAGTGTGAATATGTGTATGAAAGGTGTACTACTACTGCACAAAAATTGCCCATACTGGGACAAATAAACTGAATAAAATGAACTGAATTAAAAAGTGTTTTAAAATTGCAATCAATGTGTGTTTCCAAATATTACAAAAAATATATATTATAATGATTAAATATAGACCAAAATATGTAATGGTTATGGTTTTATTATTATTTTTCCAGACAGAGCAGCCAGGAATCTTAATTTGCTATAACATTTCCTTTGGTTATATTTCACTTTTTATTTTGTTACATATTACTGGTTTCTTCTTGTGTTTCTTGTGAATAAGACAAAGAACACTAAAACTATTGTAGTTCAACCTGTGGCTGTCCTATATTTGGACCAAAATGGGGAATATTTACAAACAGAGATGACATGAAATCAATTATAACCTGGCTTCTATTACCATTTTACCAAAACAATTTTTATAGTGGCATCCTGGTCTTCATGCACCATCTATCTAGCAATGAAAATGAAAGTGATGAAGCTTCACCTACAGCAGATAGCTGCACATGGTACTCTGAATCACGTAAGATTATATTTGCAGGACTCTGTAACGGTTCCTGTTAGATTAGCTGCATCCTGGACTATGTGAATAACTCCACAAACAGCGTTGCAGCTTTCACTGCGGCTGGCTGGTGATAGAAGGCAGCGACAGCACAATTAGCCTCCGTGGGCCAAGCTAGTGGAATGTAACTGTGTAGCTAATTCTCCGCTGTGGACGTTACCTCAGTCATAATGCGCTGTGGGAGCCAGCTTTGGAGGATGGCATTAAACCCGCGACAGGAGAAATGGTTAAAGTCAAACTGAAGCGTTACTCCGGCAGCTTACAAGAACTACAAACTAATCTATTTTTTTTAGTATTATAATTATTATTATTCGGCCTTTTCTCTCGGGTGCCTTCTCTTCTTCGAGGTTTTAGATATCTTCGCCGCTGCTTACTGCCTCCTAGTTTCAGTCTTCCGAGGCGTGTTTGAACGCGTCATCTTTCTGTCTGTCAGTTCCTGTCTCCTTTAATCTGTGTGCAAGAAAAAGGTGTACATATTATGAGTTTATTTATTATTTGTGAAACTTAAACATTTCGGATTTTACTCAAGCAAAATCTATATATTTTGACCTAATGTTTGAGTTGAGTCGAATAACTTGCATGTCTAAGACAGAGGTAGATGGGCGGAGCTAGATGGGGGGCCAGGGGTGGCCATGCCCACCCTTAGCCAATCTGTGGCCACCCCTACCATTTATTTCCCTCTAATACAGATGGTGGCAGCAGTAATACTCTCAAGTGGACTATTCAAAACATAAAAAAAAAAAATTGTTAATTATACACATTAAATATACTAACATCCAAGATGATAAGTACAGAATTAATGCTATTTTTAGAACTAGATTTTGTGTTATATGGGGTAAAGAGAAAACTGTGTTTCTATCCAGGAGTCTTCAGTGAAATCCTATATAATTAATAAACACTTTTTAAAATAATCACTTTATGTTGATATTAGTGTTTGTAAATATCAATTTTATGAAGAATGTTTATTGATACAAGTAGGTAAGTAATGACAATGGTAAAGATTCATGCCCCAGAACTTAAAACTGAAAGTTTTATCCACTTTACCTTTTATCTAGAAATTACAGATGTTTGAATATATTCATCTATTTGTTAGCAAAGGCTGTGGAAAAGTATAGTTTGTCTTTATTTAGAAAATATGGATGTTTTGCTCATTAATTTTCCTGTTGGGACAGTGTAGATTGACCCTGAGGTTCTGGTGCCTATCCGCTTTTGGTCACCCCTCAGTGTACATTGGTTATTGCCTGGCCATCCTCATAAAAATGTTCTGGCTACGCCTCTGCATGTACTAATGTGAAATATATCGAAAATCTAAAAAAAGTGCCACACTAAAAATTGCAATTGTCAACATATAATTTAACAATGTTTCAGGAATAAGCTTGACATTTAAGGGATTAGATTTTTTCTTTTTTTCAGACTTATAAGTCTTGATTAGAGACCTGAGCCTTGCTTGTAACTAGTGTTGTGCTGATGCCATTTTTTGGCCCCGATACCCGATACCTGGCTGTGCAGTATCGGCCGATACCATAATAATGTAAAATTATTGCCATCATGGCTTTGTCAAGCTGCTGCCTACCTTTGTGAAGCAGGAAAAAATCTAATACAAAGTGAATCCAGTAGAACTTTTTATTGCCTACCAGGAGTGGGTGACAATAGTTGAATAAACTTATGGCTCTCAAAATGGTATCGGTGCCCTATTTGTTGGTACTCGCCGATACCACCATTTTAGGGCAGTATTGGGGCCCCATCTGATACTGGTATCGGTATCGGTGCAACACTACTTGTAACCTTGGAACCTTTGTCTGAACCCTGGGACAAGGTGGGAAGGAGTCTGAAATGGCAACCTTGATAAATTAGTAACCGCTATAACCAGTGCCCAGTTTGAGAGCCTTCTATGATAGTTTCTTTATGAATATAAATTAAAAACAGTTAGATGCAATCTGTTTATTCATCTAATCATTTATTACGAGATTTTCTTCATACATACATTCAAAACAAATATGCAACCAAGGGGAGGAGGGGGGAGTTAAAATTGTTTAACATGCAATTTAGGGAAAATCACTAAATTTGCCTTTTGTATTTCTACTTCTGTCTCCTTGAACCCCAGTCGGCCTCAGCAGATTGCTGCTCACACTGAGCCTGGTTCTGCTGGAGGTAGCTTCCTGTTAAAAGGGAGTTTTTCCTCTCCACTGTTGCTACAAGCATGCTTAGTGTGAGGGATTGTCTTTGAGCCAATGAGTCGATGCAATCAACTGGTTTTCCTTAGAAAACTTTGAATCAATTTGACTGTATGATCTGGTGAACTGTAAAGTGCCTTGAGATGACATTGTTGTGAGTTGGCTCTATACAAATAAACTGAACTGAAATGGAATATAACTCCAGTTCTGCCAGGAGAAGTAAACTGTTGTGGAATAGCCTACTAAGGCCTTTTATTTAAAATTTAATTGAAGATCTTTCCGTAATATTCTCCTATTGTCTGTGAAATATGTATTTATGTGCTTAGCCTACTGTGTATTTTGGTAGATCTAATTAATTATATTCAGGAAAACTTTAGTCTGTTTTAATTTTAAACAGTGAGAAAAGGTGGCTATCTATTCTGTTTCAGGATGTTTATTCTTGCACTCTTTTAAAGACATACAGTCTGTATTGTTTTCAGTCTGATTGTCCAATATAAAAGAAAAAATATCATGTTAACTGTTTTTTCTCGTTAAAAAAATGTACAGAGCAGCAAATATATTTCAAACTCAGTTTTAAATCCTGAGATATAAGCACAATGCGTCATGAAGGCTTACAAGATAAGGAACTAGTTTCATTCTCCTCACATAGATAAATAATCCGTCGCAGGCCATTTTAGACCAGAGGCTTCACTCGTGAAAACACCTGAACTTTGATCTCAAGCGACTTTTAAAAGTCATCAGCTGTGAGTTGAGCTTTAAACCGTAGAAGAAGAAAACGGACGGAACTAAACTGTTCTTCTTCGGGTGATCCTACTGTCGCGAGGGAGGCTTCTTCCCATGGCACCAGGAGTTATGGCTATTCTAGCACTGATGTATGTGTCCCCCTGGTTGGACGCTAGGCTTCATTGATTGCAGGAACTCAGAGGACGAAATCATGTCCCCCTCCAGCTGATTGAGGACCCCGTGTAAAGAAATAAAGGGTTAGTGTGGTTAACTGCTATTATAGGTTACCAAATTAGCTCCACCGTTAGCTTTAAAGTTACGATTAGCAAGCTAACTAATGTTACCGACCGAAAGCTAATGTTGACTTATTTCTCCTTTAAAATTGATATTTCTTATGAGTTGGATATTAAATATTTTTTTCGTCAATTTAACCCCATAGCCAATCAGTAATTAGCTAGCTACTAACCATTGTACTAGCTTTAGCTAACGTGCAGATCTGGATGTGATAGTTAACTTCATAAACTCTATTTATTATTTATTTAGTTAAAAAAAATATATATATATATTTTCTATTTTGCCCTAGCAACCTAGATGTCACTTAATTGGTTTTACATACAGTAGATAGATTTAAATGGTTAATTTAGATAGTGTGGAAAAAAGTTACCTTTTTTTTTTCATTTTTCAAAAAAATCAGACTTTGCTTGCCATTTCCAAGTTATTTTAGTTTGGTTAGTTTCATTTTAAATTGAATAATTTGGCATTTTGTACCTTTTATTTAGAAAACCTGCGCACCATATAAAGCAAATAGTTGTATTGGATCTGTAGCTACTCACTGAGGAGAGAATAACATTATGCAGAAATGTAAAAAGCATAGAGGAAACAAAGGGAAGAAAAGAACAGGACTTCATTGCCATGGATATCACAGTATTTACCAGTATTGCAAGATTTTGTGTTGTTATTCTCCAGCCCGAATACTAGACATTTTAATACTGCAAGCATAGTAACTGTGATCAAACCCGTGGATGTAGTGGTTACTTGAAGTGTTTAAACTGTGAGTGTCCTGAATATTTCTGGGTTTTTGTTCAAACTAAATGGCCAAGGTAGAAACATTACTTCAGGCTAAATAATAAGGGGTTTTCAGTCTTTTGTCAACAATAAATTATTTTCTCTGGATCATCAACAGGTTTATTAAGGAGTAAACCTTTCATGTCTAATGGGACACAACTTTAGATCTAATCTTTTTTTAGTATCTGTGAAGGTTCCAAAGTCTCTCAGATTTTTAAGTGACACTGATTCCCTTTCACTTTATAAACAGTTTTAAAGTATTCACAATTTTATGGTTGGAACACCAAGTTAAATTCCTCTACTTTCCCCTCCATTAAAAGAAATCAAAGCTGTGTTTCCAAAAGTTCTTAAACATTTTCAGAGTTATGCCTTTTTATTGGTTATGTTGGGATTCTACCTTAAGGGTAGTAGGTGGGACAGATAATCAGATGTGTTTAAATTATTGACCATTTTGGCTTCATGTTGGGAGCCTTCCTCCCTCAGTTAATAGTCTAACACCCTAAAAAACTGAGGAGGAGTTAACTGCACCACATTTGCTGAACTGTTTTTAACATACAATGAGAAACCTCACCTTTTGCATGTTTAAAACTGGTCCTTTGTCAGGTCTTTACTGGATTTTCTGTTTATTTTAGAAGAATGCTGCTTCTCTGCAGAGAGAGCAGGTGGAGTTTTAGAGCTTGCATATTTGGTTTAATCCTCCTTAAGTCAAGTTCCCTCATCTTTCTCCCTCTCTTAAGCTGCACTGCATCCTGTCCTATTGAACTCAAATGCTTTGTCTTGTGTATTCATGCTTTTATATGCTAGATTGTGGTCAAAGCTTTAGCAGTTGATGGAGCTCGAAATGCTAAAAGTAACACAGAGCATCTTTTTTACTAAATGGGGAGAACTGTTTGCAGCTGATATCATCAGAAAGTTGTTCTCATCCCATTATTTCTGATAGCATGCAGGCCTTCCCTTACTTTAAAATGTCACAGATTGAAACGTTCTCAAAGGTGAAAAAAGCTTTATAAGATCTCCAGAAAGCCTGAAGATCTATTTATTAAGATGATTGAAAATACCACACATATTTATCTTAAGAAAGACCACATAGGATGCTTTGAAAAAAAAAAGAAGCCTGTTTTGTGCTAAAAAAAAAAAAAAATCAAACATGTATCTGAAACAAATTTAGCAAAATCTTGCCTTTCTCTGGCTTTCAGAAAGACGTTTGATCTTTCTGCTGAACACATTTCTGCAGTATATTCTCCTTCTTAGTTGATGTGTGTTTGTTCTTCTGCAGTTTGGATATGTTGCACCACATGGAGGGGGATTCAGCAGATGATGACCTGGAAGAGGTAATGAACGAGCCCCTCCACATATCTGATTCCCACCAGTCGAAACCCAGAACCAGCAGCATCTCAGAGACTGAATTCTC